GCGCGCGTACTATAGAGTCAAACACACATGACATACGTACGCACGCGATGGTACACGGACGCCTGAAAATAAGCTTTGAAAGAGGAAGAAGCTGTGTGGAAAAGGAAGGAGCCCGGCCCCAAAGGGTGAAACCGGCGACGGGGGAGCAAGGGAGGGATTAGGGAGGGGGGGGCCTGGGGGGGCCTGGGGCTAATCGCCGTCCACTCGGACGTGCCGGACCACACACCGGCGCGTCCGTCCGCGGCCATTCCTCTTCTCGTTCTCGTGAAATATCGCTGTCAAGGGCCCGAACTCTATTAGCCAAGTTCCGCGAGTTCTTGCTCGGATACTTGCCTCGGTATCGATTCGCTCGGATCGATCGTGATCCGAGATCTTGCGGATAGCAGACTCGCGCGGAGGAGGGTAGGGCAGGACGAGCGAGCCGGTGATTTAGGCGGATCCCGAACGTGAATCTCGATCGCGATTACGTGAACGCAGCTTGCAAGTCTTGAATCTACGAAAGTGTTAGGACTTCGCGAAGCGGTCCTAATAGTCCCGACGTGTGATTTAAGTGTGTATTAAGAAATTTTACGTAACAGAGAAGAAATTATCAATGCTCGCTTTAGAATAGTAACGTTAATGTGCCAATGAGAGGCAACCGATTCTCATTGAGCATTCGTTCGTTGTATAATTTTAATATCGAAAGTTCTTGATCTCAATTCGCTAGTAAAATTATAGCTTTCACAAAGCTTTGTCAAAGTTGTCGGATAAACGGAGGCAGAAGATGCATATCCAAGACGTAGAAGACGTTACGCGCGCTATCATCATCCGCCAGCGGCGCGCTATCTCTCTTAGTCTCGAAAATAGCTTAATCACACGGGACTCGCTGAAAAATCCAGAAATCAAATTACAACGTTCGTACGTGAAGAGGAACAGGTAGGCAGTCCCCGTCGCGTACACATACAGAGAGAGGGGGGGGGGCTCACGCTATCGCGCGTTCGTGTACGTGCATACGCAAAACGGAAATGACGCAGCGCGCCGGCAATGCGGTCTCCTGTGCATTAAGGCCCAGGCTGCAATTCACGGAGTGTGCTAGCGCTGCGCCTCTCCCCGGCCTTGAATTATATCCTTAATGTTTTCATAAAGCTTCCTTATGTACAGACAATAAAAGCCCTAATTACAGTCGTTCGCCGGGCGAGAGAGAGCGGCCTCCGGGGCCGGCCGCCTATTACTATTCGCGCTATGCCGGGGCTCCCGTAATTGTTACACCGCGATAAATATTCCTCATCGATCTGACGAGTCTGCGTTTTCCCCCCGTAATGGCGCGGTTACGGTCGAAACGTTCTAATTAGAGGCCACTGCCGTTACCCATTAAAATGTCCATGACGTTCTCGCGGCTACACCCCTCGAGTGCCGCCGTCCAGAAAAGAGAGAGAAAGAAAGAGAGACCAGTCTATAAATTAAAAAAAAAATTAAAAAAGTTAAAAAAAAACTTCCGGCACGGTGGATTCAAATTTTTTCCCGGCT